AAATTGAATAATGTGACATAATTTTTATACAAAAATTTACAATTTATAACCAAATACACAACCTAAAATTTTATTCAAAACTTATAAAAAATTTTAAAAAAACATTTGAAAATATTTTTTATTTAACATATAAAAATAACGAGTGCAAAAAATAAATAAATAAAAATAATTCAAGAATACTGTTTCGGTCAACCGGCTGGACGACTAGCTGGACGTCCGGAGGGACATCCGGATACACAAATTTTCAAACACAGGTGTTGAAATGTATTTTGAAAACTGTAAACAAACGCGACACTCAAACGAAATGATAGAATCATAATTTAAAAATTTGTACCAAACACAACCTACATTTGTTAGATACGTATCCACTTTTTATTTATTTATTTTTTTTTTGAGAGGGGTATATATCCACTTTGACATGCAATGACTTTCACCTTTTATTCTGGCTTTGAGTCAAACACATTATCACAATTGACCCCAACTTTGTCTGAGTAGTCTAATTTTTTTTTTTAAAAAATAAAAAATAAAATAATTATAATTTAAATATAATATTTTATTTTATTAACTTATTTAATTTATTTTATCTTTATATATATACATATATTGTGGGTGTTTTGTTTGAGAAATAAATTTTTATGTAAATTTTTTTAGTTGTAAGATATTATTAATTTTTTTTTTTTGTATTTAGGAAGATAATTAAGTTTTTTTTGACTGAATGTGATGTTTGTGAGACAAAAAGTAAAATAATTATAAGATTTGATGTGATATCTTGTTTGAATTTATTTTTTTTAATTTTACAAAAACTTTATCTTTTAGTAAAAAAAATCAAAAAAATTTCAAAAAAAATTATTGCTAAAGACCGCTATTTTTAGTCACAACTAAAAATAAACCCACTTGTTCCTATGGCACAACCCAATTAAGATCACCGTCCAATCAGAGATTCCAAGGGCATTCATTGCTTGATGGATTCCGATGCGGGTCCAAAACATAAATTCAAACAAAGACTCGTTTGGTTGAGTTGTGAGAAAATGATTATGATCTCGTTTGATAGAGTTGTGAGAAAGTAATTATAACTTATACTTTAACAATTTATAGCTTATAATTGTGAATATAAGCTGATCTTTGACTTATAAATTAAGTTTTTCCTCCTCTATTTAAAATATAAGTTGATTTTTGACTTACAAAAAGCTATAAGCTGTATTGTTAAGTTGAACCAAACACATCAAAATATCTTAAATTAAGCTAAAAACTGAAGTAAGCTGGAAATAAGCCCTACCAAACATGGCCTATAACTTATAGTCTAACAACTTATAACTTATAACTGTGAACATAAACTGATTTTTGACTTATAAATTAAATTTCTCCTCCCCCACTCAAAGAATAAGTTAATTTTTGACTTACAAAAAGCTATAATTTATATTGTTAAGCTGAACCAAACACATCAAAATAACTTAAATTAAGCTAAAAACTGAAATAAGCTGGAAATAAGGCTTACCAAACATAGCCAAAGCCATATATGATTCCTATGACTTATCCATAATCTCAAAACGGTAGTATTACATGTATTTATTAATATATTAATTAATTTATCAATATATGTTATAACATTATTCTTGACTCCATTTGTTATATTCCTTCCGTTCCAAAATAATGGTACATTTTGGAGAATTCAATTTTTTTTGGTAGTACAATTATTGCATTTGAAAAAAGTTGATTTTTCAAAATTATCCTTTTGACAGTACATTTTTTGGGAATATCAATGCATAATTGTACTTTTTATGTTGTTTATTAATTTAAAAGAAGGGTAAAATAGGAAATTTATATTATTTTTGTATTTAATTTTTGAAGAGGGACTAATATTTTAGGACAATGAAAAATGGAATAAGGGACTAATATTTTGGGACGGAGGGAGTATAAATTATAAATATTTAAAATTATATTACATTATTTGTTAGTACATTAATTGATATACCAATTGATTATATAAGGTTATTCATCTCAAAATATTAGTTATTTTGGGAAATTTAATTATTTTTGGTGATATAATTATGACACTTCAATAATATTAACTTTTTAAAATTACTTTTTAGTAGTATAATTATTACACTTCAAATAATATTAATGAATTTAAAAAAAAAAATAGTCCTTCATTTTTAAAAAGGAATTAATATTTTGGGATAATGAAAAATGAAATAAGGAGTTAATATTTTGAAATGGAGAGAGTAATGCTACGGATCAAAGTATAAAAATTCAAAAATTATTCAGAATTTAGGCAAAGTTTGGCTACTACAAAATAATCCATCTTTTTATCTTTTTTTCATCACATCACCTCTTTACTTTTCTGCACATCTTTTTTTAAAAAGACAAAAAATATACTTATTTAGATCATTCCAAACAACTCCTAATATCAATGGCTTAGATTAGTTTCATATGTAATCTCTATACTTCATCAATTAAATCTTCCCCACCCATATTCATTTCTAGATAAATTCTGTTTCCAAATTCTAACTTTTTTGTATTTATTATCCTCATTAACTGTCAAAACTTTTCATAGAAATTTTCTTTTTCGGTGAATAATCATAGAAATTTTCTTTTCATAGAAATTTCTAAAAAAAAAAAAACAATAATGTGAAAAGTCCAAAACTAGCATTCCAAGTCAATAACATGTGTATATCTAATAAGAGGAAGGGTTTGAGTAAATAAAATTAAAAAAAAAAAAGAAAAAAAAAAAGAGAGTAAGAAGCGGAGGAGGAGGAGTAAGAGGGAAGCTTCTCAAGGTAATGATGTTTCACTAAAAAGTGTCTTTCTTTTTTTTTTTTCTTTTTTTTTTTTTTTTTTTTTTTTTTTTTTTTTTTTTTTTTGGGAGAATTTTTTTTTTTTTTTTTTTTTTTTTTTTTGGCTTTTGGAAATAAAAATTCAGGACGCCAATTGTTACTTTGGGTTGTTTTGGGAAGATGGTAAAAAGTGATTTTTTGGCTTTTAATTAAGCTTTTGGCTTTTTTAGACAAATAATTTGGGAAGTTGGTAAAAAGTGACTTTTGACTTTTTTGATTAATATTTGTTTATGATGTCAAATCATAATAAAATGACTAAACTACCCCCGTTTATTTAAAATATTTACAACTGAACCTATGTAACACATTGTAACTCATGAGGGGTAAAATTATAATTTCACCGTTGGCTAAAAACTAACTTGCCAAATGAAAAAAAAGCCAAAAAAGCCAACTTTTGACTTTTGCTACTAACCAAAAAAAATGATTTTTAGCCAATTTTCCAAAATAGCCCTTTGAAAAACACTCCAATCTAATCTTCTTTTTCTCTTCTTGTTATAGTTTTTGGATTGTGTCACATGTCATGAAAATAGTTTATATGGTGTTGATGCATTGTAAATTCAACAAATTTAGGGATTATTTGGGATGATCTAAATAAGTGTATTTTTTCACTTTCTATAAAATATGGGTTGAGTTTGAAGTGATGTGGTAGAGAGGTGATGTGATTTAAATAAGATGGTGTGACTTAAATAGGATAGTGATTTTTTGACTTTTTTACTTTTTTGTGTCATGCCAAACTTAGCCTTAATGAACAATTGGGATGATCTAGATTAGATAAAGAAACAATACTTATTGTTTGGTGGTGTTTGGCAACAATTTTTTTTGAGTTTTTTTGAGTTTTTTTTTTCACTACAAGACAAAGTTTTTCCAAAAAAATAAAATAAAAAATAAATCCAAACAAAATATCACATCAAACCCTATAATCATTCACTTTTTTTTTCTCACAAATATCATATCCAACCACAAAAAACTCAACTATCTTCCCAAATCCAATTTTTTTTTTCTCTAATAATATTTTACAACTAAAAAAACCTACATAAAAATTCACTTTCCAAACACCCACTTTGATGGGTTTGATTTAATTCCATTCTTGTAAAAGTATTGTTAATCACAATTGGGATTTGCCTAAAATCTGAAGAGAGCTTTTTTATTTTTATTATATTTTTTTGAAGAGAATAGAGTATTATTAACCATGGAGAAAATATCTGTGTTTATAGAAGCAGGCCCATATATATAATTTATTGTTTGATAGAATGCTTCTTCATAATTCCCAGCAATGTAGACACTTGTTGTGTTTAGTTGGGAGATTTGGAAAATGATTTAAAAATAGAAATAGAAAAAGAAAATGAATTATGAATAAAATATATCTATATTTCACTTAATTTTACACTTTTTTTTCATTTCTTTTTCTAAATTCCTACTCAAATCCCTCAACCAAATACATCATTAATTACTAAATAATAGAATGATATGAAAGATCCACTTCATCAAAATGAATTCAGCATTGTTGAAAACTTTTCATAATTTTTTTAGATTCGTAGATTCAAATCAAAATATAACACAGCCACATAAAGATTCAGGAAAATTTACACGTCAGTGACACCTTTGAAAATCAATTACAAATTTATGATCATAACTTTTAAAATTTATAAAGTTTTTAATTAATTGAAAAATATTTTTTTCTAAATATTCAAGGGTTGTTTGGAGTGTCCTAAATAAGTACACTTTTTGACTTTTTATGAAATATGGGTTGAGTATGGGTTGTGTTTGAAATGATGTGATAGAGAGGTGATGTGACTTAAATAAGATGATATGATTTAGAATAGTAACTTTTTAACTTTTTAAATTTTTTTGAGGATGCCAAACTTGACCTCACTATGTGAAGTAATCCCAAAGATTTATCCACCTAGACATGCAATAATTTCCACTTTTTTATGCTGACTTTGAGTTCCAAAGGGAAACAACTTATATTAGTCAAACTCCATAATTGACTACGTATTTGTTTCCTAAAAGTATTCAACTATTTGAATCAACATAGGATAATATGTTGGCCCACCTTAGACACAGCCCAATTATGATCGGACCGTCCAATCATAGATTCCAAGGGCATTGCTGGATTCTGATGTGGGTCGCAAACATAAATTCAAACAAAGTCTTATCCTCATTAACTGCCAAAAAAACAAAAAATAAACTCATTAAATATGTGTAGATATGTCATAATAAGAAGAGTAAAGGGTTTGAGTAAATCTGAAAAGCAGAGAGGAAGAAGCAGAGGAGGAGGAGAAAGAGGGAAGCTTCTCAAGGTAATGATGTTTCACTGAAAGGTGTTTTTTTTTTTTTTTTGGAAGTAAAATTTCAAGAAGGCAATTGTTGCTTTGAAAAACACTATCTATTTTTCTTGCCTTTTGTTTTAGTTTTTGGATTGTGTTGTGTGATCAAAATAGTTTATATGGTGTTCATGGGTTGCATTGTGAATTCAACCAACTTAATGAACAATTGGGATGATCTAAATTAGATAAAGAAACTGTAATTCTTGTTTGATGGGTTTGATTTCATTCCATTCTTCTTAAAGTATTGTTAATCACAACTGAATTGTGATTTGCCTAAAATCAGTGCAGGGATTTTTTTTTGAAGAGAATAGAGGATGGTTAACCATGGAGAAATTATCTATGTTTATAGATGCATGCCCACATACTTTTTGATTGAACGCTTCTTCATAATTCCCAGCAATGTGTTTAATGATTTTCTTTTTTCCCTAATTTTTCATTGAATTTTAAGGAATACGCTACTGCACAACTCATTCTTCTTCCATATTATTTATGTATAATCGGATCTATAATTTTATTCTTTTATCGGAGCGAATTTCCGTCTATGGTTACATTCGATAATTTTAGTCAATTATGTGTTTTGCAAAGAATTTGATACTGGTTTTTATGTGATTGATCATATCCAGTTTTCTGATTTTTGTATATGCTGATCATGTTGCTCACTAATGGTGTATAGGCTTCCATACTGTGATGCCCTCTTTAATTTTTCTTGCAGGTTCGCTTTGATTTAATTCATCAAATATTTCTTCTGCATTGTTCTTCTCTCTTCTTCAAAAAAATTAAAAATTAAAAATTTCTTGACCAGAAGTTCAGTGATAAATTTATCTCAACGACCCGAATCAGATGGAAGGGGGTGGCAAACCGGATAAAACAGAATTCACAGAATGCTGGCGGACAAGTTGGAAAACACCATACATAATGCGACTTGCTCTATCAGCCGGCATTGGAGGGCTCCTATTTGGTTATGACACCGGTAATACAAGGTTTTTCCATTCATTTGTTTCTTTTGGGATGATGGTAACACGAGCTAAGATTGGAAGACTTTTTTTTATATTTTTTTTTTATTTTATCTTTTTCCGACTTTACTATCACTCCCACTGCAATCACACTGTTGCATACACATATTACTGAAGTAGCATGAGTTGATATAATACTTTGAATCATGTTACAGTCCAAACCATTTTTGTGTTGTTTAATCACTGAATTTGATGCAGCGGTAATAAGGAAAAAGACTTGATATTGTTCTGGTAGACGAGATTCTTGAATCCACAAGTCGAACAAACTTGATTCCAAAAGGAAAGTAAAAGAATTTTCCGCAATCCCAATCAAGGGTCACATCCTTATTTATAGGAGAGAAGTTTAAATTTGAGTTAAGTTCAAATTTGGTACTAGAATCCTAAAGAAACATTTGAGAAAAAAACCTAGTGAAATCAGAGTCTTTTAGACCACGTAACTGACAAAACAAAACTTTTCAAGTATAGAAAAATGACATTATACCCTTGTTCCCATTGCAATCCTGCTTTGACTCTTGCTGCTCCCAAAGTTCTAAAAATACTTAAGCTGCATGTTCTACATTAGAATTCTTTTGTGGGTTGTAGGTGTTATTTCTGGTGCCCTGCTGTACATCCGGGACGACTTCAAATCTGTCGATAGGAAGACATGGCTACAGGCAAGTTAATTCCTTACACATTTCAATTGATCTCTCTTGAAATCATTCTCAATTCATATCTTTCTTTTATGTGATGATTTATCGTATACCTTCCTCAATCTGCAGGAAACCATTGTGAGCATGGCAGTTGCAGGAGCTATAATTGGTGCAGCCTTTGGTGGATGGATGAACGACAAGTTCGGGAGGAAAAAATCGATTCTTATGGCTGATTTTCTGTTCTTTATCGGTGCAATAGTCATGGCTGTTGCTCCGGCTCCCTGGGTGATAATTATTGGACGAATACTTGTAGGTCTTGGAGTTGGAATGGCTTCCATGACCTCACCTCTCTATATTTCAGAAGCTTCTCCTGCTAGAATTAGGGGAGCACTTGTCAGCACAAATGGTTTGCTGATCACCGGAGGACAGTTCCTGTCGTATCTCATCAACCTCGCATTCACAAAGGTGTGAAGATTCATTATCTCCTTTGATTTTTGTAACTCCTTTTTTTTTTTTTTTTTTTAAATTTATTTTATTGATTGTGTTAATGTTAATCCCTCCAAATGAATGTGCTTCAGGCACCAGGTACCTGGCGATGGATGGTAGGGGTTGCTGGTGTTCCTGCTCTTGTTCAGTTTATACTGATGCTGTTACTTCCTGAGTCTCCTAGATGGCTCTATAGGCAGGTAATACATCAGTATGCAATTTTATGCTATTCCTACTTTTTCCACTTCATAACTGGGCAGAAGTTTGATTACATTGTGTTCAGAGTTGGGTGATGAAAGTTTGATTACATCGTGTTCAATTGCCTTTGCTCACCATCCAAGCAACCATTGGATTGGGAGAGTCAGAGTCAAAAAGAGATTTCCTCACTTGTTTATCTCATTCAAAACCGTGCATGAGACTTTCAACTCACATGGCTCCTAAGTGATAAAAGAAAGATCTCATCTTCTTTCTTTTTTAATTCCTCATCATTTTTTTTTTCTTTTTTCTTTTTTTGAATGTACGTACTGTACATATTAGTTTGAACCTTGATGGACTTATAAACAGACTTGCCATTTCATGCAATTTGGATAACAGTTTTGTCCTTTGAATTGATAATCAGAATAAGGTACACGAGGCCCAGGCCATCTTAGAGAAGATCTACCCTGCTAACGAAGTTGAAGAAGAAATGAAAGCCCTACAATCATCGGTTGAAGCTGAAAAGGTGGAGGAAGCTGCCATCGGGGATGGCATGTTTTCAAAAATAAAGAGTGCTTGGAAAAACAATGTGGTTAGGAGAGGCCTCTACGCAGGGATCACAGTTCAAGTGGCTCAGCAATTTGTGGGTATAAACACTGTCATGTATTACAGTCCAACCATAGTTCAACTGGCCGGTTACGCTTCAAATAAGACTGCCTTAGCTCTCTCTCTCATCACTTCCGGTCTCAATGCTCTTGGCTCAATTGTTAGTATGGTTACTGTTGACAGATATGGGAGGAGGAGGTTGATGATTTTGTCGATGATTGGGATTATTGTCTGCCTCGTGGCCTTATCGGTTGTGTTCTTCCAAGCATCTGTTCACTCTCCACCAATTAGTAGGTTCGAATCCACGCGATTTGGCGGGAACTCTACGTGTTCAAGTTATTTGTCAGCACAGGATGCATCATCTTGGAGTTGTACGAAATGTTTGAAAGCAGCATCAGACTGTGCATTTTGTGCTAATTCACCTAACAAAGTAAGTTTTGATACATTGCCCTCTTTTTTCTTTTAACTCCTTCAATGAATCAATCTATTTGAACCTTCATGTTTTGTCATCCTAACAAATGTTGATTACCATTGAGTTGTTTATATTCACAGTTTTTTGTTTACATTTACAGACGTTTTTGAAAATTCTAAGTAAAAACTGTAAAAAATTATAAAATAGTTTACAAGATTTATTAAATTACTGTAATAAAAAAATTTATTCTCACTTGTTTTGAGAACAAGTTTTTTTGTTCATTTCTACCTTTCTCACCCAGCCACCACCCCCCAGCCTATCACCACTGCCAGCCACCACATCCGGCCACCTCCAACATCAAGCCACTGTTGCTGGCAACCCGCTCTAGTACCGCTGTCAGCAACCTCCGGCCACCACCTCTTTCTTGTTAATGGCAACCACCTTTGGCCATCACATCCGGCAACTACTTCTGGCTTTATGCAACCAACCGCTGAAGACCCCCTTCAGCAACAATCTTTCCACCGAAAACGATTTCTAGCCACTGCCTCCGATCATTAGCAATGACCTTCGGCCACCATCCCCTAACGACAACCACCTGCAAACACCTACTCTCACTTGTTTTCAAGACAAAATTTTGAAACACATAGATGTATACACACCAAAAATAAGTATAAACGTGTTTTGTAAACACTAATCCGTAAACGTTACCAATTGCGACTTTACTAATGTACTTTCCCCTTCATCAGTATCTTCCGGGAGCATGCTTGGCTGCAAGCGATGCTACGAGAGATGCCTGCCGCACAGAATATCGTACATGGTACACGAAGGGCTGTCCAACCAAATTCGGGGCTTTAGCAGTCCTACTTCTGGGATTGTACATCATAATGTACTCACCGGGGATGGGAACAGTACCGTGGATTGTGAACTCAGAGATATACCCGTTGAGATACAGAGGCATCGGAGGAGGGATAGCAGCAGTTAGTAACTGGATTTCAAATCTGCTCGTCAGTGAGACATTCTTAACTTTAACTGAGGCAGTTGGCTCTGCAGGCACATCTTTTTGCCGGGTTTTCGTTTCTGGGACTAATAGCGATATTTTTCCTTGTACCGGAGACGAAAGGATTGCCATTTGAGGAAGTTGAGAAGATGCTGGAAAAGGGGTACAGGCCAAGCATTTGTTCCAAGCAAAAGGATGTCGATCCTGCTTGAGCTAACCTTAGAATCTGTTTTACAACTGTTTTAATTTAGATCAGTTGGAATTAGAATCTTGTCTCAGACTAATGGTAATTTTACCTATTAGATTGCCGTTTAGTCGCTAGACAAGATTATTTTTATGTTTTTTTTTTTAAGAGATTAAAAAGAACATGAGATGTGATGTTTTTTCTTTAGCTTTATGAGTGGTTTATAATGGTTTGTATATATTTTTTGACTCTCAATACTGTTACTATCCATGCAGTACTAAATTGTTTTAGCAATTCATGTTGTGTTGGTGTCTTGGATTCAGTGATAACATATGAAAGTTAATTCATGTTGTGTTGGTGTCTTGGATTCGGTGATGACATATGAAAGTTATTGTGGTGCAGATGCTGGAATTTTAATCTTATCAACTATTCAGAAATTGTTCATTTGAGTGGCGCTGTTTGGTAAGTAGGTTTTTGACCTTTTTTTTTTTGTTAAAATGTACAAAAAAAAAAGAAGATAAAACAGGTTAAAATAGTCAATAAAACAAAATATCACATCAAATTAATAATTATTTCATTTTTTTTTCCTCACAAATATCACATTCAACTACAAAAAAATTCAGCCATCTTTCCAAACACAAAAATTTTAACTTATTAAAATAGTCAAAAAGTAAAATAGCCTACTAAACTAACAATCCCCCAAACAAATAATGGGAGAACACCCAACTAGGGGGTGATTATTCAGTACTCTCGGAGTATGGACTCGTAGTGCTCCATAAGGTTTTGATTAGTGAAGAGACACAAGAGCCCACGATTTATGTTGGGAATGAGAGAACAACATGGGGCTAATTAATTGGTGATTGGTTTGGAGTATGGACACGTGGTGTTCCGGGAGTATTGAATAATTTCCCCAAACTTAGGGAAGGTAAAAATGTTTGGTTTAGATATTTGCTGGCAGTAGTGTTGTGAAGTGTATTGCATTTTTATTATGTACTCATACTCAGAGTAAGAAGCTTTTTATGGTGGTGGTGGAACGATGTTAGACCTCTCACATCTCTTTCCTAAATGTAGGGGCATTGTGGAACCATATAAACAAAATAATTTTTAACTCTTGGTTCTTGATGATATCAATTATGCTTTCCATTCAAAGGGAATAACATAGGCCTTTGCAAGTATCCTTATGTTCTAAATTACTTTTCTATCATAAGATAAATATATTTTGATTTGATTTGATTTGATCGGATAGGTTGAGAACTTTGAAATTGGAGAGAAGGGCTTTTGAATACGAGAGATCCAAGCATGAGAGAGAGAAAAACTAAATCATCTATCTAATCCTCTATTTCTTATCCTATGGAGAAAATTTTAATATATTATCACATTGTTAAAATTAAAAAAAGTTAAGATAAGAAGTGAGACAAATCATCATATGACAAGAGAGGAGAGAGACACAGAGCAAAACAAGTACTTTTTAACGGTAAGTGACATAATTTGATAAAAAAATGAGTGATTAGGAGGAACCAAGGGATCGCAAGATAAACCATATAGACAGACAAACAAACTACCCATTAAAGAGAACAACAAAAGCATTCAATAACTCTGTACCTAAGTGCAAAAAATGGCAAAGCTATACTCTCTCTCATATACACAAGCAGGGGAGGGAGGGAGAGACAAAACCTGCTATTCCATGCCAGCTAATGCACACTACTACTAATAATAATAATTAATAATAATAATAATAATAATAATTATTATTATTATTAAAGACAAAAGCGAAAGAAAGAAAGAGATAAAAGATATATGCAGCCCACATATACCAACTCCTTGCATCACCCTCTGGTGGGGTTGGTTGTTGGATTGGCTGTCTGCTGGCTGGCTCTGCCTCCATGACATATATATCTATGCATATTGTTTTCTGAAACAATTCTTGTTTTGCATGTATTACTCTAATTATTATTAATTTTTTTTTAAAGAAACATAATAATTTCAACTAGAGTAATGATATACAATTTTACTGAATCTTCCTTAACTATTTGTAAATATCTACTTATTTCCCTTATATGAGAAGGCATATTTATACAATTTTTTACTAGTATAATTGAAAGAGTAAAAATATACAGATTCATAAATGGAGTAAGTTAATATTCACTAATAGTCGAGGAATTTTGGTATAATTAGTTGAAAGAAAACTTTGGAATAAAATTGTTATATATTTTACTCTACAGATGATGTATACATATGATTACAAGATGGACTAAGAATGGAAAAACAAATCATGCTAATTATGGACACTCCTAACAATACCAAATCAAGGTAACACTACCAAATCAAGGATTCCTAAATAGGTAGGAACATGACTCACGCTAACACTCCCCTCAAGTTGGTGCGTAGATATCTCCTATGCCCAACTTGTCTAGTGAGTCATGGAAAACCCGTGAGGACACTGCATGTGTTAAGATATCTGCTAGTTGTTCTTCAGATCTCACAAGCGGGATATCAATCAACTTCCCAACCAGTTTTTCCTTGATGAAGTGACAATCCACTTCAACATGCTTCGTTCTGTCATGTTGGACTGGATTATTTGCAATTGCTCGGGCCGCCTGATTATCACAGTAGAGTGCCATAGTACCAGTTTGTTGAAACCCAATTTCGGTAAGTAAAATCCTCAACCAGAGAAGTTCACAAATTCCCTGAGCTATTCCCCAGTACTCAGCTTCAGTTGCGGATCTAGCCACCACATTCTGCTTCTTACTACGTCGTGCAACCAGATTACCTCTTACAAAAGTAAAAAAGCCTGACGTAGAACGTTTGTTGGTTATATTACTTGCCCAATCTGCATCAGTGTATCCCTTGACATTCAAATGTGCTTGTCTCTTGAATATTAACCCTCTACCTGGAGCTCCCTTCAAATAGCTCAATATTCGCATAACTACTGCTAGATGATCTTCACTAGGCGAATGCATAAACTGGCTCACAACACTAACTGCATAAGCAATATCTGGACGAGTATGTGATAGATAAATCAACCTTCCCACTAATCTCTGATAGCTTTCCCTATTAGTTGGTACTTGATTTGGATAGATTGCTAAGAGATGATTCTGTACAATTGGAGTCTCTGCAGGTGCACACCCTAGCTTGCCTGTTTCTGCTACTAAATCCAAAACATATTTCCTCTGAGACAAGCAGATACTGTTAGTAGAGCATGTAACCTTAATTCCTAGAGAATATTTCAAACTTCCCAAGTCCTTTATTTCAAATTTAGAAGCTAAATGTTTTTGAAGATTCTTAATCTCATCTGTATCATCATCAGTAACAACCATATCATCGACATAAATAATTAACAAAGTAACCTTTCCACCCCTGTGTTTGATAAACAAAGTATGATCAGAGTTGCATTGCCAATACCCAAACTTTCCATTGCCAAAGTGAACCTTCCAAACCATGCTCGAGAGGACTGTTTCAAACCATAAAGAGCCTTTCGTAATCTGCACACATTTCCAGCTGCACTATGTAGTCCACAACCTGGAGGAAACTCCATGTGGACTTCTTCTTCTAAATCTCCATGAAGAAAAACATTTTTTACATCAAATTGTTTCAGAGGCCAATTTAAATTTACAGCTAGAGAAAACAATACCTGAATAGTGTTCATTTTTGCTACTGGAGCAAAAGTCTACTGATAATCAACACCATGCATTTAAGTATACCCTTTTGCTACCAACCTTGCCTTATATCAATCAATTGTCCCATCTGCCTTGTGTTTAACTGCAAATATCCATCTACAACATACTGGTTTTTTTCCCTTTGGGCAATGAGACTATATCCCATGTCCTATTTTTCTGTAATGCTTCCATTTCCACTTTCATGACAGCTATCCACTTGGGCTCTCTAAGAGCTTCTTCAACTCTATTGGTATTGCAACTCCTGCCATCTGATTCACAAATGCTTGACATTGTTCAGACAGCCTGTGTGTGGACATATAGTCGGCAATTACATATCGAACTTTGCCTTCTGGTGAGTACTTATCAAGTGGTTTGCCTCTATTTACTCTGTGAGGCAATTGGTAAGATTGTTCAATACTATCAATAGGAATAGGAGTAGGAGTATTGAGACTAGGTTCTGAAGTGCATACCTAAGGAACATTCAGAAGAGACAGAGTGGGTACTGCTGTGGTGTGAAGGGGGGACTCAATCAGCTCAGGCAAAGTTTCAGTAAGTGAAATACCAGTTAAAGTATCACCTAGGATGACATGTGCATCAACTGCCTTACTTGCATTTTGGTTGTATGGTTTAGCAGTGGAAAACTCTTCGGGTGTCAGGGTAGTGGAGGTAGAAAACTTGTCTGGTTTGGAAGGAGAACTAAATGTAAGAACAATATTAGTTGTTGTAGGAACAGTAGTAGTTGTTGATTTTGCACTCATGCTAACGTTAAACCAAATATGTTTTTCACATGGCATGTTTATTTCCCCCTGAAGAATAGAGTTGGTCAATTCGGTATTAAAGAACATCTCACTCTCAAGGAAGGTAACATCCATGGTAATATACCACCAGCGAGAAGGGGGATGATAACACTTATACCCATTTTTCTGTGGAGAAAAACCCAGAAACACATAACGTAGAGCACATGGATCCAATTTACTCCGTTGATTTTTATGGAGATGCACATAAGCGACACACCCAAAAATCCGAGGAGTAAGATTCAAGGACGATGTGACAGAGACATGAGTACCTAATACTGCCAATGGTGTTTGAAAATCAAGTACTCGAGATGGCATTCGATTTAACAAATACACGGCATAGGTTACAACATTAGCCCAATACCGCTGTGGTACAGAATTGCCCAAAAGAAGAGCTCGAGCAGTCTCAAGGATATGTCGATTCTTCTGCTCGACCACCCCATTTTTTTCGGGAGTTTGTGTACACGTTGTTTCAAGAAGAATTCCATGATCCTGAAAAAAGTATGCAAGTGGGTTGTTGACAAATTCACCACCACCATCGAACTGAAACACTTTAATGGGAGAGGAAAATTGTGTTTGAATCATCTGATAAAATATTGAAAAAATTGAACATACTTCGCTTTTAGTTTTTAGTACATACAACCAGGCCATTCTAGTGCATTTATCAACAAAAATAACAAATCAATGAATCCCAGATGGTGTAACAATAGGAGATGGGCCCCAAACATCGGAATGGACTAAAGCAAATGGAGTTGTT